GGGGGTTTTCAGGGCAGTTCTGGGGGTGGTTTCGGGGGTTTTCAGAGCGTTTTCGGGGGGTTTCCAGGGGTGCCCGACCTCATGACGGGGATGCCGGAGCGGTGGCAGCGGTAGAAGGCCGAGTACCAGAGGGGCAGGAGGGCGTAACGGCGCCGCAGGGCCGCCCTCACCGGCTCCAGGTGCTCCGGGGGCAGCAGCCAAGGCTCCCTTCGAGCCGTGTCCAGGTGGGCGTGGGCCCGGAAAAACGGCTGGAACGCCCCGGCCTGGTACCAACGGACCTGCAGCTCCGGGCCAGGGTTCTGGAAAAATCCCCCGATGTCCGCTGGGAAAGGGGGGGAAAGAGGGTGAGAACGGGACTGGGAATGGGGGAATGGGCCTGGGAACAGCACTGGGAACATCACTAGGAACATCTTTGGGAACATCACTGGGAACATCCCTGGGAACATCACTGGAAATATCCCTGGAAACGTCCCTGAAAGCATTCCCAATCCTACTCCAAAACCCATTCCCGGGAACATTTCTGAGAACGTCCCTAGGAACATCCCTGGGAATGTCCCTGAGAACATCCTTGGGAACATAACTGGGAATGTCACTGGGAACATCCCTGGGAACATCCCTGAAACCATTCCCAATCCTACTCCAGAACCCATCCCTGGGAATATTCCTGGAAACATCCCCGGGAATGTCCCCAGAATATCCCTGAACGCAGCCAAAACCCTGTTCCCAATCCCTTTCCCAATCCTATTCCTGACCCTATCCCCACTGTGCTCCCAGTGCTCCCAGTCTCACCCCCACAGGAGGCCATTCCCAGTGCTCCCAGTGCTCCCTCCCAGTGCTCCCAGTGCTCCCAGTCTCACCCCCACACAAGGCCATTCCCAGTGCTCCCAGTGCTCCCTCCCAGTGCTCCCAGTCTCACCCCCACAGAAGGCCAGCCCAGCCAGGCCGAAGCTGAGGCACATGGGGATGGAGATCTTGAGATGTTCCCAATCCGCCGTGTTGTCCCCGGTCCAAACGGCTCCTGGGGGGGAAACGGGGGGTCAGGGGGGTCTCCCATTCCCAGGGGGTCATGGAGAGGGTCAGGGGTGTCCCCCCATTCCCAGGGGAGGGTCAGGGGGGTCC